GCTTATGCTCGGGTGCACAGATTGCATCTCCGTCGTCCCTGGTGAACCTCAGGTGTGTTTTCGGTTTGGATTTGAATGCTCTGTTCATGTTGTATGTTGCATTTGCTCTTACTCACTCAATTTATGTGATGTTTTTGGATTTAGTGTATGTTGGAATTTGTAAGCATGTACAAAATTGTTGTGTAGGTGCAAATTGGGTCACATGCTTTCACTTATGACTATGTTTATGGTAGTACGGGATCTGGGTCGTCTGCAATATACGATGATTGCGTAGCTCCACTTGTAGATGCGCTTTTTAATGGCTACAATGCAACCGTTCTTGCGTATGGCCAGGTATAGTTTTGCATTTGGTTTTGTCTTTGATTGGAAAATTTGTGTTTCAGAAACTTTGATTTGTTATATGTAGTATGCATTGACTGTTTTTTTTTTTTTTTTTTTGTGCTCAGACTGGATCTGGGAAGACATACACCATGGGCACCAACTATACTGGAGAGGAAAATGCGGGTGGAATTATACCCAAGGTGATGGAGACAATATTCAAGAGGGTTCAGACTATGAAGGAATCTTCAGAGTTTTTGATTAGGGTATCTTTTATCGAGGTAAAGAATAAGTATAATGAATTTTCTCCGTAATTGTGACCAGGCTTTTGAAACCTTGAAGTTTGAACTGGATTAATATGATGACAGATATTCAAGGAAGAGGTATTTGATTTGCTTGATCCCAGTTCAGCTAGAGGAGATGCGGCTGCTACTGGGAAGGCCGCTGCTCCCAGCAGAGTTCCTATACAAATCAGAGAAACAGTGAATGGAGGAATAACACTGGCTGGTGTTACCGAGGCCGAAGTGTTGATCGGTGGATAAGATCGGATATTTGCAAAAAAGACTCTGACGATCAAATTAGTTTAGGTTCACCTGGAGGAGTATTATTTGCAGATTCGGAATCCCTCACACCCTCGTTACTGACAACGGCTGGCAATTCGTCGCACAGGGATTCGAGGACTTCCTCTGCGACCTCGGTATCAAGCATCTCCCGACCTCGGTGGAACACCCCCAGATCAATGGCCAAACCGAAGCAGCCAACAAGTTTCTAGCAAATTGTTTTGAAACATGTTCTTAAAATACACTTTCTCATTAAGTGATGCATCTCCTCATTAAGTGATGCTTCAATTGGGGATTAAAAATTTCTCTTATAAATATCAAGAGCTTTTCCTCTACTAGACATACTTCCTCTAACTATATCTCAAAATCCAACCTGTTCTTCCATTTGAATGTATTCAACCACCCTTGCACAAAGTTCATCCACATTAACAAGTTGTCTATCGCATAAACTATTGACAAATGGTCGTAGTTTAAGTGTCATGAACATGGGATGAAGAACAACTTACAAATTTTATTAATGGATACACTAGCGAAGCATTCCATAAACTTTCATAAAGATTCATCATCTCCCTATCGCATGTTGGCTATAGCAACTGAGGTGATGTGATAGGGTTGATTGGTGACACATTGGGCCTTGATCGGTGGATAAGATCGGATATTTGCAAAAAAGACTCTGACGATCAAATTAGTTTAGGTTCACCTGGAGGAGTATTATTTGCAGATTCGGAATCCCTCACACCCTCGTTACTGACAACGGCTGGCAATTCGTCGCACAGGGATTCGAGGACTTCCTCTGCGACCTCGGTATCAAGCATCTCCCGACCTCGGTGGAACACCCCCAGATCAATGGCCAAACCCCTATCACATCACCTCAGTTGCTATAGCCAACATGCGATAGGGAGATGATGAATCTTTATGAAAGTTTATGGAATGCTTCGCTAGTGTATCCATTAATAAAATTTGTAAGTTGTTCTTCATCCCATGTTCATGACACTTAAACTACGACCATTTGTCAATAGTTTATGCGATAGACAACTTGTTAATGTGGATGAACTTTGTGCAAGGGTGGTTGAATACATTCAAATGGAAGAACAGGTTGGATTTTGAGATATAGTTAGAGGAAGTATGTCTAGTAGAGGAAAAGCTCTTGATATTTATAAGAGAAATTTTTAATCCCCAATTGAAGCATCACTTAATGAGGAGATGCATCACTTAATGAGAAAGTGTATTTTAAGAACATGTTTTTAATACTTTTTAAAAGTAAATACAAGGTTTAATTATTTAATGAAAATCAATTTAAAGATAAAAGTTCATTTCCCTCACAATGGTCCCTTAGCTTCTCAAATATAATTAACTAATCAATTTGATTGTTAAATATTTCGTTTGCACCTTTGAGACATTAGACCACTCAACTTTGTAATAAGGTATGGAGTATTTACTGTCAAAAATAGTGACTAGTTTTTATCAGAAACCATAAGTGCATACTAAGTGGATATTTTTCTTTCAATATAATTTATGTCATATTGAATGATTTGGTTAAGAGATACAAGTCGCTGACACTTATGTCAACTAATGTTGGTAAAAAATGATGAGTGTTGTTGAAGTGATTGTAAATATCAAGGATTTGTGTATATGTCATTATTTATAGTACTTTTTAATGTTTATTCTTTTCCCCTTTTGTATAAATGTATTGTAAAGTTCCTTGATCATAATTCATCTCAATAATTTTTTTCATCAAAAAATGTTAATTGTTACGACATAAAACATATACAATTTGTTTATATAAATATAAAAATTAAACAATATTTCATAGTTATTTGTATGGATTAAAAGTATATATGTAAGTATTCATGAATATAAAATGACACATGTTCTTACCCTAAAATGGCTAAGATCTCAATGTCTGAGGTGTACATCTCCAACTTCTTCAGATCTCCTTCTTATGTTTTAGTCAATCTTTTAGTCTCTTATAGGTGGGTAAGGTCGGGCACTTACAAAAAAGACTTTGATGATCAAATTAATCTAGATTATCCAACATATATTTGTTTAATCTTATGTATTTACCTTTTTTTGTCCAACCTCCTAATTGAATTGAATTGCTTAAGTTAGTATAATCAAGGATAACCAGCAAGGTTAACCTCTAAAGTTTGCCTAAATTTATGAGTTTATACATAAACTACCAAGTTTATATTAGCTTGGGTAGTACATAAGCCCCTTGAGCTCAAAATCTCAGTGAGATGAATAAGCTGAAAATGCATTTAAATGAAATGAATTATGTTACAATTTATCTTTATTCATTTATTTACTGTAATGATAGGGTTTTACAAATTTCAACGAAACTAATAATTAAGAGGTGTATTTTTGTCTTACCCTTTCATTGTGAGCATGTTTGTACTCACTCCAGTCGTGATGACGGGGTATTTCTTCAATTTCATCAAATCATTTCATTTTAGTCTTTTCGTTTCTAGCAAATTGTTTCAAAACATGTTCTTAAAATACACTTTCTCATTAAGTGATGCATCTCCTCATTAAGTGATGCTTCAATTGGGGATTAAAAATTTCTCTTATAAATATCAAGAGCTTTTCCTCTACTAGACATACTTCCTCTAACTATATCTCAAAATCCAACCTGTTCTTCCATTTGAATGTATTCAACCACCCTTGCACAAAGTTCATCCACATTAACAAGTTGTCTATCGCATAAACTATTGACAAATGGTCGTAGTTTAAGTGTCATGAACATGGGATGAAGAACAACTTACAAATTTTATTAATGGATACACTAGCGAAGCATTCCATAAACTTTCATAAAGATTCATCATCTCCCTATCGCATGTTGGCTATAGCAACTGAGGTGATGTGATAGGGTTGATTGGTGACACATTGGGCCTTGATCGGTGGATAAGATCGGATATTTGCAAAAAAGACTCTGACGATCAAATTAGTTTAGGTTCACCTGGAGGAGTATTATTTGCAGATTCGGAATCCCTCACACCCTCGTTACTGACAACGGCTGGCAATTCGTCGCACAGGGATTCGAGGACTTCCTCTGCGACCTCGGTATCAAGCATCTCCCGACCTCGGTGGAACACCCCCAGATCAATGGCCAAACCGAAGCAGCCAACAAGGTCATCCTCCGGGAACTTAAGAAGCGGCTAGGGAACGCCAAAGGACAGTGGGCTGACGAGCTCCCAAGCATCCTCTGGCGTATCATTGCACCCCCCAGTCAACCACGCAAGAGACACCTTATAGGTTGACCTACGGAGCTGACGCAATGATCCCAGTGGAGGTCGGAGAGATGTCCCACCGACGCCAAGTTTTTAACAGTGAACAAAACGCTCAAGAGTTAGCAACTGACCTCGACTTGGTCGACGAGCTCAGAGACGAAGCTCAAATCCACGAAGAAGCCTGCAAACTCCGGGCTTCCCGAAGATACAACACGCGAGTGCGACCTCGCTCTTTCCGAGTTGGCGACTTGGTATGGCGAACCCAAGCCAGCCAACAAGGTCATCCTCCGGGAACTTAAGAAGCGGCTAGGGAACGCCAAAGGACAGTGGGCTGACGAGCTCCCAAGCATCCTCTGGCGTATCATTGCACCCCCCAGTCAACCACGCAAGAGACACCTTATAGGTTGACCTACGGAGCTGACGCAATGATCCCAGTGGAGGTCGGAGAGATGTCCCACCGACGCCAAGTTTTTAACAGTGAACAAAACGCTCAAGAGTTAGCAACTGAATTCTTATCTGAAACCTTTAGATTGAGTAGGATGTTTTAGGGTGTGGTTGTTTTTCAATTAGGTTGAACGTAACCCAAAAGCAACACATCACTTGCTTTAGCTTTTTTGCATCAGAAAGTGGAAAATGTCCGTTTAACTTGTTTTGAACGGATTTCCAAACACACACTGATTAAATCTGACCATAAATTTTGCAACTGCCTTTTAGATCTGCCTTTCATGTTAGTTTTACATTTAAATTGAAGTATGTAATGTTTGCTCATTTGATTTTCCTGTGGATGATTTGAATTTAAAAAGAGATAACTTGGATCGATTTACTGATTATCCTGATCTAAATGTATTGATAATATCCACCGGTGTATGTTTTCCTCACAATCTATTCATAACAGGAAAACTAAAATGGCCAAGGAGATTGCAAGATTAAAGGAAGAAGCAGATATGATGAAGTTAAACAATTCAAGGTGATAAGGACAGACAGTTACATAAGCCATTTATTTATTGAACAATCTTTGTTTTTGGAAATCTATAATTGACAACATCTGCTTGCCTGATTGCTAATATAGTGATGGCCTCGTATCAATGTCTCCGGGAGCAAGAAATTCAAGGATATATGCCCTCGAAAAGATGATTGATTCTTCTTCTACAACACTGCTGACAATGGCATCTCAGTTGTCAGAGGCAGAAGAGCGGGAACGGGTTTTCAGTGGCAAGGGGCGTTGGAACCAAGTCCGTTCCCTTGCTGAAGCCAAGAATTTGATGAATCATTTGTTTAATCTGGCATCTTCCTCCAGGTAGTAGCTTTATATGCTTGTAAATTTATGGTCTATGATTAAAGTTAACTAAAAAACAGTATCTATTAATCTTAAGCAAATCAGTAGTTATCTTTGTGATGACACATGACTGAATTTTTTTTTCAATGCCTTTATATATTTCAGGTGTTCATTGCGAGATAGAGAAGTTGCCTGCAGGGAGAAGGACATGGAAATAAGAGATATGAAAGAAAAAGTAGTAAGGTTGAGCTGTTCACTTCGACAGTTGGAAATGCAGAAGTCTGAACTCATTCATCAGTTGAAGTTGCTGGTTAGTATGTTTGGTCGAGAGCTCCACTTCATCGAGATTTAGCTTGAGAAATAAATTTTGCAATGCAACTTAAAATTGAACAGATTTAATGAAACTTGAAATTTTTTCTCCTTTCCAAATTTAAGTTGCAGTTTATCAAATTGAAGAAGTAACGGTCCTTATTTTTGTAACTGTGATTCTCTAATTATGGTAATTTCTTTTCTTTTTCTGGTTTTAACCATAATGTTAAAACTTATGACAGAGGGCAAAGAGGTACTCAGAATCTGTGGGGGATTCGGTGTATTACACAACTGGTGTAGGACATAAGTATGACTTGCGCAAGATGGTAAGTCTCTTGCAATATCACTAGATCTCTTAATGTGCCTACAAATCTCATTATACATCACTTTTTCTTTTGGTACTATAGTTAATGATCATTTGGTTATCATTTAGGAAAACCGGCGATCTACAATTTTATTGGAGGATATGGATTTATCAATATCAGACACAGAAGCAGATGATTATGCTAAAAATGGGACTGATGATGAATGGGTAGCATCAGAAGACGATGAATGCGGAGCATCAGAAAAAATACATGTTAGGAAAAGAAAGTCTAAGAGCAGACGTGCAAGCATGGAAGACAATCAGTCAAATATCAGTTCAGAAGATGTAAAAGATAATTCAACAGAAGCAAATGGAGGTGCATCTGGGGAAACTGCATCAGGAATCTGCTGCTCTTGTAGTAAATCTTCTTCTTGCAAGACAAACAAATGCAAGTGCAAAGCTCTGGGCGGCACTTGTGGGAGTTCTTGTGGTTGCTTAGCATCCAAGTGTGCCAACAGAATATCAGTCTCGAATGAGTCACAAGTTGAAGGGACTGGTAATGCTTCCAGTATTGAGGAATCAAATAAAGATCGCCTTCTTGCTGCTCAAGGGGCTGAATTGCTTCAAGGTGCACTGGTTGAGGGGCCTGCTGAAGCCCACAGTGATCATGGGCCAAGAAAACCTCTTTCTGATATTGGAAATACACTGGTGCGTCTTATCAAACCTCTCTAACTCTGCATTAAATCATTAATTTGTTTTCTGTCGTTGTGTGTGAACTGGATGCAATACAGGTTACTTCAGTGTTTTAATTATTTCTTTTTGCAGGCCAAATCAAATGCTCAGAAGGCTAATCCAAGAAAGAAATGGGGGAAGGTGAAGCCCCCAGTACTTGTTGTTACAGATCCTCCACCTTCCTCTGAAGATAATTCTGAAGTCCCCAAGAAAGAAGATAATAGCATCAATGAAGCGAACATACCACTGAAAATGCACTCATCTAGACCTGAAAACTCTTTGGTTGCCCCTAAGGTAGAGAAAAATATAATTGACACAGATATACCTTTGAAAATACCTCGAGCTATGCGAAAGCAAGCATCATCAAATGGTGGTGGCCTTCCACTGGGGGACATGAACGCTGGTAAGCCAGATGAATCTGTCACAAAGAAGGAGTCTGAAGTGATTGAAGCTAGAAGTCCCGTGAAACAAAAAAGAACATTTGAGAAAGAGAACAATGGACGTTAATCTTGCGTCCATTTCTTACCCTTTCAAGGGCGAAGACCAGGACTTAAGACGCATGGCATTACCATATTCTTATGGTGTATCTGTTGAAGATAAAGAAGGCGCGTGGTTTGTATCGGGTGTCTAAACGTGTATCGATCATTATTTTCGTTTGTCTTCGGTAGACAAATATATTATTTGGCTTCCTTTTTTTTTTTTTTTTTTTGCTTGTAAGACAAATTTATCCAAACTCCAAATGATTCTGTGCTGGTGATCATCAAATTATCATGGCATAACCTTGGAGTTAAATCACTTTGTACCAATGATCAGAATGAATTGAGTTGTTCAGTGGGAAAAATTGGAGCTTAAGTTCTATGGTATGAATGCAACTGTGAGGTTGCATAAAATTTATAATAAAATCCTCTGGAATATATACTTGCGTTCTCAGAAAAGGAAGTCACCTGCGTTTCTTCAGTGAAGTGCAAGATGATTAAATGTAAGTCCTTTTTTAAAAGTTAAATTACTGGTTTGGTCATTTCATTCAAAATTTAATTTATATGGAGTGACACGTATATGAATATACAACAAAATCATTTTAATTCTCGAAATTATAATGTGTCAATTTAATTCCTAAAATTATAATTTAATATCACTTTAGTTTTTAAAATTTTAACTTGATGTCATGTTTATTTCCAAACGTTTTCATGACTTTATCACTGTATTTACACTGGTAATTTGATTATTTATTTTATTGTAAAAATATATGTAGAGAAAAGATAAACATTAAAAGGGATTGTTGAATAGTGTATATCGCAAATTCGCATGTTTTTTAAGGTGGAATAATAATGCTAGTTAGATAAAATAAGAAGAGTAATTAGATTGAAAACTAAATAATTTTATATCGGTTTGTCTCAACTATTAAGACTACATCCGATCCTCAATTCAACCATATTCTTTAACAAAGCAATTCTAATTTAATCCTAAATGTTCTTTGACATGTCTCTTCAAATAACTATTCAAGAATTCTTTTAATAAACAAGTTTATCCAGGCTTAACAATCAAATATTCTTTTTTAGACAAGTTTCTCCAAGTTCAAAAATAAATATTATTTTTCAAATAAATTTCTCCATATTCAATCTTATAACAATGATGAAGGTTACAAAGAAGTTGTGTTTGCTTCATTTAGACATTATAAAACAATTACAGAATAATGAATGTTTATAAGAAAGAATAAATTTTTATCGAGAATATTTTTGTACAAATGTATTTATATGTTTGTTCTCTTTTCTTTCTTGTGCATTGAGTCTTTTTATATAATAATTCAAAAAAAATGACTATTACAACACTTTAAATTTAGCTCACAAGTAACCATTTAATTAAGTTATAAAATGATATTATGTTTTATAATCATATACCATGCGGAATATATACTACATGCCACACCTCTATAACATGTGTCACTTTACATATATATCACGTGTATGTTACATAATATTATTGTGTCACATAAATATTTTTATTTAAAAAAATATAATTTATTTAACAAAAGGACTTAAATAAGTGACATAATACATTTTTAGGAACTTTTGTTTGAGTTTTATTAGAATTAGAGACTAAAATGAGAGCAATATACAATTTCAAAGATTCATTTCACCATTTTTCTTATCTCACTCTTTTTTTTTCTCACTCTTTTTATCTTTGTCTTTTCACCCATACACTCACTTTTCTGTATGTACGTCAATCACTCTTCCTTTATATTATGGGTTGATTTCACTAATTATAATAAATCATGCCTAAAAAAAATCATTGAACATGTTATTTGGTAAGAATCATTCATATTAAAATCATAATTGATACTAAATTTTGTGTAGATATCAATTAAAAAGTGATGTGTCAGACTATCATAATCGATCACATTCAATAAAATGATAACAAATTAAAATATAAAATACTACATTGAGCTAAAATAATAATTAAGAAATCAAAACTCCCATTGCCTCTTGGTCGAAAATCTAAAAAATAATCCATAAAACTAAAACAAGGCAACTAGATAAAAAATAATCCATAAAACTAAAACAAGACAACTAGATAAACCATTTTCCCCATGATTCATGACCCGCAAGTTGATTCAATGGAAGTGAAGGATGGGTCCTTAGGGCACGGTTTTGTGATGCAATAGGTGTGGCAGATAGTTAGTATGGCTTAGGAAAGCCCAAACATGTCCTTAAATCTAAAAGATTATATTGAAAAGAGTTGAATAATTCTTTTATATTTTTTTATTATTCTTTTACAATTATAAGATGTTGGTACATGAATAGTTATCATTAATTGATATCAATTGTTAAGCCTTTAAATACATAAGTCAAACTTATTACTAGTTTATTAAGTGAAAAAATTTAATTACTTTTTTTATTCATAAAAAAATTATAAAGACACTAATAAAGATTAAATCTATATTTTTATATATCTATGTCAACTTTTTTCTTCTTAATCATTAAACTAATTTTAATAGTTAGAAAAAAAAATTATTCTACTTAATGCGAGAGTCTTAACATAGAATTTTTAACATTAATTATATTTGTTCGACGATACAAAGTTGTGAAAATAATTATTAATATATTAGGAGTTGAAATATGAGTGTTTGATATAATATGTTTAGATTATAAGTTCAAATTTTGATATCATTATTGTAATTTTAATAGAAAAAAAAATACATACTATCATCTTTGGTATACATAATATCCTATGCAGATGAGATGAAAAATTTTATATTTTCAAGTAGTTGATATCTATTATGACTCAATATTATCGTTATAGTCAATATGATAATCACTTTCACACACAAAAAATATCAAATTAAATATGCTTAAACATATATAATGTTACAACTAAATACTCATATTTTATAATCATATAAATCAACGATAAGCACTAACTAGATATAATCAATTCCCGTCAATTTTATAATTTTAATCGCAAAGACATCAATTTAACCACGTAATGAAGTCTCACTCATGTTTTTATTTATTCAATCACGAGCCCAATCTGGCAATCCCAATAGTGTTTATCCACTAAATCATCAACCCAATCTCACAATTAAAAACATACAGAGTGATATTCATTAAATAAGAGTGAGACTTGATTTTTTTTTTTTTTTATATAACAATTGATGTTGCGTTTCTCTTGTGTTATTGTTGAATTGTGTAAGGAAGTGAACATCGTATGAAAGATGTTGTTCGACAATTGCTGCCCTGAAATGAATAAAGCATCATCTAATAATTAAGCATTGCTGATTATGTTTGGGAGTGGTGGACCCAAATAATAAGAAGTCCGAATGTGATTATTTCAATTTCCATCAGAAAGCAAGTGATAGATCCGTGAATTGATTGCCCCACGATGTTAAATAAACACATCACAGTCATTCATTGGACAAAATTAAAATGGGAAAGTAACATAGAATGTGTTGTTTGCATCTTCATATGAATGGTTGAGGAAGGAATTGATAAACGTGGAGGCAAAAACAATAATTTGTGATGGATAATTGTGTCCAATGTTGGAAAACTTGTGGACCTTCTCTTTTAGGTGGAGACAGAGATAATAATATTTACTAAAAAAATGTTGAGATTTTTTAGTCTAAAGTATTTTTTGTGTGGATGGGTATGGCTTTTTGAGATTTGATTTGGCAGCATGTGGTGGACTTGGCTTGTTGGTAGCCACTTGATTGGGTCCTATAACACAGCAAAACAAACAAAAAAAATACAAAGATTTTGGAGTCACGAGGACCAGTGAGTCACTGACTGTCACCAAATCTCACTTTCTCTTGCTTTGGCTTTTCTCCCAACTCCCAAAACTTAACAACAAAACAAATAGGAAATATTGTATTTATACACACTTCTTTATATCTTTTTATTTACGTTATTAATTATATCAATCATTTACTTATATAATCTTTTAAAAACTATTTTTATTCTACTTTTTATAAAAATATTTTTATACGAGGGAGGAATGAGAATTCAACTCTTTTGAATTGAAAAAAACATATATATATATATATATATATATATAAATATAAAATAACAGCATTCATTTTTAAAACGAAAATTTTAATTAATATTTTTTTATTCATTATCACTTGAACAACAAATACGAAAATATATTAATTTTATTAAATAATTAAAATATCAATTAAATTAAATAATTTATTAGATATATATATATTTTTTATTGTTTTAATTATATTATTTTTTTCAGAAAAAAATTAGTGCAATGTTTCATGTACAAACTTTTAATAAATTATTTTATTGTTATTAGGTAATAATTAATTTTTTAATCAGTTTTCTTGTTAATCTTACAATAAAAACTAAATAATTATATAATTTTCATAAAATATAGTATTTTATAATTATTTGAAATTTATAAACTATAAAATTGCATTGCTAATTTTTTATTATAATTTTTAACTTATAAATTTAACAGATTATTTAAGCAAAATAATCCTATATATTTATTATTTTCTAGTTTATTTATATTTTATTTTTAATCGTTAATTTAAATTTTTTTCTTATTATGATAAACTATAAAAATTACATTTTACACTTTGATTTACTATGATTTTGAGTATAGTTTAATCACATAAAAATTATTGGTTTATTATTTTGAGCTAAATATGATATATTTTTTACATGTTAGATTATGACATAGATATCTTGCAATAAAGAAGAAACTAAATTTTTTGTAAATGATTTTTTTTAAAAATATACTTATATAATCATGAAAGTAATATTATTTCCAAAGAAACCTATATTAATATTCTCAGAAATTTTTATGAATAACTAAATGAATTTTATTCATTCTCAAAAATCATAAGGGAATCATGATTTTTGAGTATGAAAATTATTTTCCTTTATCAAATATCTATAAGAGAAGTGTACATGGTTGTTTTCCAAAATAAAATAGAATCAAATTATCTTTTAATATAGATTAGAATTATTATATTGAATGAGATTTTTTCTGAATATCATTTTTCAACAAAAATATTTTTAGTTAATTTTATTCACTGAGAATCTTTTTGAGAATTTTCTCAATCTCTTGTTTCCTTATTTTAGTTTTACATTAAATTTTATATTTCAAAAATGATCAATAATTAAAGAAACCCTATATTCAATATAAATCATATAATAATATTTTGATGTACAAGTTAAATATTTAGTATATATAATTAAAATTTAAAATAAATTATATAAATAAATAGTACTATATTTGAATATATAAATTATATTTAAAATTTTAATAAATACATTTTTAAATATATAAATTGTAATTTATGATAAATAATTTGTATTTTAGTACAATATTATTTTTATTTATTGATAAATTATTTAAAAATATTAAAATTTAATTTATAAATAATTATAATAAATAAAAATCAAATTAGATATAAAGATAAAAGAATTTTAAAAAATTTATCATTGAACAAAAGTTCTTAAAAATATTAAAATTTTTAAATATATAATCTTTTTTTTTGTTTTGTTTTGGTTATATATATATATATATATATAAGTTGATTATAATTATAAAATATAATTTATATATTAAAAATTATTTATTATTACATTATGAAACAATTTAAATTTTTAAAAGTATTTATTTATTATAGATACATAAAACAGACATTTTTTTCATGTACATTACACATACTAAAAGATTAGTTAATAATTATCTTCTTACCATTTTTTCTACTTTTTAAATAACAGAATAAAAGCCTCACTATTTTATAACAATTTTTTAAAATAATAATAATATAATCATTCTATTTTATATTATTTATTTTTCATTTAAGCAACATCTCATTGATTCAAATGAATTAGATTCATATTTATTGAATAAGGTCTGAATTTCAAATAATGCGAATAAAAAAAGTGATTGAAGGAAAAATTACATTAAACGTGGTAAATCAAATTCTTTTACAATGATTAATCACAAGTAAAATTAATAGATGTTGAGTATTAATAACATGATTAAAAATATATATTATTCCTTCTAATTTCACTTATCATTGAATAATTTTATACAGCCATAATTAACGTATATATAACTTCAAAGGTAAATGCAATTAGAACTTAGAAGGGCCTATATTACGCATTCACATTTTATTTAAAGTAGAAAGACTTTTTCAAAGTGTTTATTAAACTACGCTCATATTGTAACTATTCTGTTTTTAATGTTGACTTTTTTTATATAGTAAATTGTTATTTAGTTTAATTATTATGATTCAGACTCTTTACAATCCTTTAGTATTATCCTGCAATCAAAATTGGATTGTTTTTTCTTCAGTCATCTGAATAATATATAAATTTTCAAATAAAATTCTAATTTTAATTGAATAACAATAACACCAAAAACACCTACGTAACTAGGTCTTAATTTTGCACTTACACCAATTTGATCATAAAATAATGGAGATGAAACCTTAAGCTTTAAACACTAATCATGTGGTTAATTTTAATTTTAATTTTAATTTTAATTTCTTGCAAGTAATGTTCCTTGAACCACACATTCACGTAAATGCAAAACCAATTTTACTTTCTCAGCGCCAACCAGCACCACATCTATGACTTTCCATATTAGACCTCACCAGTTTCCATCCTCTGTGCCTCGGTTTCACCTGCTCCCTCACTCTAAATCTTCATCAACACAGCTTACCAACGAAACACCGCCACGTGTACTCAGCTGTTGTTTCTGTACAGTAACCGGCTGCACTGAATAATAACATTACCACGTGGCACTTTTTAACTTGCAGCCTTGTTTATGCCAAGTGACATTGTTATCGGAACAGCTCGGATAGATCGAACGGATCTGGACGCGCCACGTGTCACTCGGAATCATCTAACGGTATCTGGGAAGCGTATAGAACTTGTCACTCTGGCTTTTCTTCTTCTATCTACCCTTTTTCCCTTGAAAGCCCAAAATTGTTCATGAAAGCTTCGTTTCCGATTAACAATTTTTGAATAATAGAGACTTTACTTTCCGAGCTTTTAACTTTTTAAGGTATATACTGATTGATTAATAGCGTTGCTCTATTCGGCGTTTAACTTTTCATTTTTTTTTCCTTAAATAGCGGTTTGTGGATTCTCTGAATGATTGAATCTTTGTAAAAAAATTCTTACTTTTTGTCGTTTCAGCCTTTGGGTTGCTTGTTTCTCACCTTGTTTTATCTGATTTTTGGAGTAAAAACATGTTTTTTTTTGTGTAAATGGGAAAATTTCTTAATGTGTAATCTTTTTTTGTAATTAATTGAAACTTTCACCGGAAAAATGAGTTATGTTGTTAGCCTAGGACGGGATTTGGTTGCTTTGATGGTTTCACGTCGGGAATTTGTTTGTGTTGGTTATTTTAAGGTTTGCTATTTATGTTATTGGTTTTATTGGTTTTTCTGTTTTGAATCTGTCATTGTTTGGATTATGTGTCAAGATGGGTTTATTCGTCTTGATTCTGGTTGTTAAGAAAATGGGTGTCTATGTTCAATGTACTTTGGAGTACTATTATGTATTGGTTCTGGTTTTTGTTGTATATACAGTGTATTACACTTTGTTATGATTACTAACAAATTATTACCCAAAATTTAGGACGCGTTTGTTAATAATTTGTCTTGCCCTTTGTTATGACTAATAAATAGTTGTTACAGAGGTGGAAAAGTAAAACACGTGAATAACGCAGCCAGAAAATTCAGCTCTTCTAGCCTTTAGTGCTAGAAGTTCAAGTATCACCAAACATTTTCTGATTTTGATTGCTTAAACAGCTCGTGTTTTGTGTGCTTTTCTACAAGCTTTGGTTTTGTTGAGGTTCTTGTTTAAAACGTTGGATTTCCTAATTTTTTGTTAACATTGTTTTTCAGTTCAATTTGAATGCTGTGCTAACTGAGAGTTCTTAATAGGCATCCCTAACCAGAGGCTGCTACTTGTTCGAAGAGGCTTCAGAGAGAGTTTTGTTGCAAGCACTCAACACATTTGTGTAAATGTCTGTGGCTTTTACCAACCTCTCTTGGTGGTTGTGGAGTGGAAAGCATCAAGAGCCAAGGATCCCAAATGGGTCTTCTATAAATTCTTCTGCCGATTCGAATTTGTGGGAATCGGATGTTTTGAGGTTTCCTTTGGTTCAGGCAAATGTAGGGTCCTCATCAAGAAAGGTGAAGCGCAAATGGCATAGTAGGGAAGAGAGGAAGGTGGATAGGGAATATGATGTTGTTCTGGTTCCATCTGATGGTGGATGTGTTTCTGGTTCTGAGTCTGATGATTCTGACTGGTCAATTGGCTGGTTGGAGCCTCATGGACCAGGATTCCCAAGTGATGATGAAACAGATAACAGTTTTGCTGTGCTGGTTCCCTGTTATGGACAAGACTATGGAAGAATAGTGGAGGATCCAAAAAGCAATTTGCTGAGGGGTGTTGGCAACTTTCCAGATAGTTATTCAGATGGTGAGTTTTGTCATTAAAATATGTTGGAATTACAGTTGTGCTGTTTTTAACTTGTTCTTCTCTTTATGTTTTGCTTGATGAATCATTGGAAATTTAGCATTAGGATGCATAGATTTGGATTGAACAGTAAATATAGTTGAAATTTGAAAATATAAAAGCTATTCAAAATGTTGGTTTGGTGGTGTCTTTAATTTTTGTATGGTTTATGCGTATGATACTGATTTCTGTCTAAACACAATTTTAGGCATTGGTTCCCCAAGCTGCTGAAGTCCAACATTAATATGTTAGTTAAAAAAGAGATTAGCCAGATATAATTTAGACTTAACCTGATCGAAGCTTGCCATTTTGCATTTCATGTCATATGTAATATAATTTTCTCTTTGTGAGGAAGTTACTTCATTTTGTTATACCTGGAGACGAAGATAAGCAGAGAATTCAGCAATCTTTCAGCATATGTTAGGTTCCATAAGTGGCAAATATGATTTGTGGGTGATAGGATTTTAACCAGAACTTTTTGATTCCTTAATCTTAACAAAGTTTTCTTGCTGTAAAATAAGATTTACCATTTGTTTGGGTATATGGTTCTAACTTTACCTCATGGAGAGTGTATTTGGACTTATAATATTTAGCATGATATGTGATGTGACTATGTGAGGTTAATGTTCATTTGTAATTTGTGCATATATTTGTGGTTATATGGGATTCTGATTTTCTTTTTCTTCTGGTGGCTAGAATTGTAACATTTGTGCCTTTTTTCCTTTGTCTGCAGAGAGCAAAAAATATGTGGAAGACTGGCTCTCTTCTCTTAGAAATACCTGATGCACAAACATCCATCATTGTGATCCTTCATCTTCCTGAGAAATATCCTCTATTGTGGTCCTTAGCCAATAAACAATTGTATAATGTAAATATTGTATAAAACAAGGCACTGATGTGAAGTCAGAATTTGATTGGTTAACGTTGTTGAGTTTGGTTATGAGGAGCAGATATGGTCAAGAGTGAAGCAGTTGTGATGCTTTGGCACTGAGAATAATGTGCACCTGCTGATCTGCTCTCTTCTTGCTTCGAGAGTCCAAACATTGTGACTGAATTGAGAACTGGGGAAAGATTCATATCATATGGGTGAATGCATATTCAAGTGTGACTTTGGAACTTGCAATTCGTTGATGTAAATATGGTAATTGTTTTAATGCTTGATCATGTACTCAAGTTTGTACATAACTGTATATAAATTTTGTACCACATTGATGTAATATATACGTGTGTGTTTTGGAGTTTGCATGGATGTATAGTTAAATTAGCAGAGTTGTGTAGATCCATTAATAATGAAAAGGCTCTAGGGACCTGGCTACTCTATAAGATAAAAGCATTTCCCTTGGGATTACATGATTGTGTTAATTTTTAAATTCATTGGTTATGAACCGGCAATATAAAGTAACGATTAATCAATTAGATATCATTATTAATTTTTCAGTATTTATTATAAAAGTTAATTTATTATAAATAATGGCTTGTGACGAACGATACAGTAAAATTTATACCGCTAATGTATCACCTATATTATGTATGCACATAGAAAGATTTAAAGGCTTTTGTTTAACTGTTTGGGTATTATAGTGATATATTACAAATTTAAAAAAAAAACATTTTGTTACGTAACTTGTGACTTGTGAGGTCCAATACTGAATTTATTTTCCTCAACCATTATCTCTATGTACTAGTTAACAAATAATTATAATAATGTTGACAAATGGTGTGGACTAATTGGTAAAAGGATTTTCGTGTAGAGATTAAAAAATATTGTGAAGTATTTGGACCAAAATTTTAATTTAACCTAACATTCATATTTAAATATATTTTTAGTCTATTAAATATAAGATAAGTTTTTTTTTATTCTCTTGATTTTAGAAAATAGTATTTTAGTCTTTCTTTTTTACTTGGTTTATAAATATGATTTATACAGTATTTTAAAGTTGACAATAAAAAATTAATTCGCACTTATAGGATGTAATTTCTGTTAGTCAAATATTATTTTGACATTGATAAAAGTTTATCAAATGTCATTAGTGAATTTATCAAATAAAATTTACCTATTATTGAAAGTGTCACACAAAACTCACCTATTAGTGATCTTGTTAATAAAAAATCTCACATTAAACTCAATTGGTATTATATAATTATCTAAATATTTCAATATTAGTTATGCTATCAGTGGTCAAGAGGTACTATATATATATATATCAAATAGTTTTCAAATTTTCATATTTAATCAATGCATTAAGAACTTTAAATTCAATGGTTGAATCGTTGAAATGTGATGTAAAACATAAGTTATTAAACGGAGTAAGTCTAAGTAAACTTAATCTTAGAGTAAATGAATCATTTCTCATATATATATATATACATATATATATATA